GATGCCAGCGAAACGTCTGGAATTTTACTAATTTCTCTGTCTGATGCTGAAAATTACCAAGACCACAAAACACAGGTACGTTATCGAGGTCTCCTTGACAGTGCCAAGAAGTTGCAAGAATTATTCCAAACTAATTATACAAAACAAAAGGAGACTGCGATGAAAATAGAGGCCACACCATATTGGTCATCATAGCTACTATTATCCGAGACGGAATTGATAAAAATATAAATTTGGACAAAAAGCGATGGAGGATGGACACAAAAAATAAATAAATAGTGAAATGAAGATTAAAGGAGTTCAATGGAAATATTATGATAGAGGCGACAAAGTCAAAAATAATCTATTAATTATCGGACCTATAGAGCCAAGCGACTGGCAAGAGGGAAGGTATCTGCTGGATACGACGGCGACCACGGTCAGGTAGCGAACTTTGTCGACTCAGTTCTATTGAGTCAATGCCAGGGTCCGAACCACGAGGACTCCTGTCTGAAGTAAATGGTTCAATGGTAGGGACGAATCTAAGATCAAAAATAGAAATAGATGTGGTTTAACATAAAAATAGTGACATGTTAGTTTTGGGATCAGACATAACATTCGCAGAAATATGATTAATGTAAATATATTTAGGAAACCTAAAGGATTGATATCTACCAGCCCGAAGAAGATTACCTGGCATCACTATAAATGACCTATAATTAATCTTATGCAAAGTAATATTAAGCATTCAAACATTTGACTTTCAAAGCATGCAGATCTAAATACGCAATGCACCTGGTGAAATTCTTCTGTAACAAAGGAATGCATCGATTTACAAGCTCTAAACTCCGCCAAGTCAGGGCCAGGTTCCTTGCCGAGATGGTTGTCAGGTCAGCAACTATTCGAGCACCAGCGCCAAGGACCAGATGGCAAGTCTTTGAGTTAAACAACTAAAGAAAAATATGTTAAATATTTAAGGAGTAAAATAACCATAGTAAAATTTATATATATATATATATATACATACATACAGTTTGTTAAAAAACACACCACCCTTTTTTGGGCAAAATGAAAAAATTAAAACAAATCGATATTATATATAAGATAGCTGTATTTTTTTTAATTATTTTAACATTTTTTAAACTTTTTTGTTAAAAAAACGTACCACCAGTCATTTAATATTTTGTCGATTGACCTCTGGCTCG